GTGACTCAGGCTGCGAGCCGTAACCGTGACGGCAGCGTTTCGTTCTCATGGCGGCGGCGGTGGTGCAGCGCTGCCATCTGGTGGTGCCACGGGACACTGCACTCACCCGACAGGGAGGGCTTGTGGGAGTGCAGGACCGAGGGCACGCTGACGATCAAGCGCCCGTCTTCCACTGGAGGCTCGGCTACGTCCGAGGAGCTGAAGCGAGACAGAGCGAGAGAATGACCCGGGCGTCCCCCCCCCGTTCGGAGGTCGCCCCGGAAACAGGCGTGAGTCAAGTCAAGTCAATCATCTGGCACCTCTCGGGGGTATCGGCAGGAGGGCGATATCGACCGAGCACCAGCGTCTCGTACGGCTTCTTGTGCGGGGAATCTAGAGGAAACACAAGCTGCCCAGAGGTGGTGACCTGAAGGGGGGGGGGGGGGGGGGGGGGAAACATTCGTGACCCTCTGAACGACTCCCAGCGGGGGAGACTTCCGCGCTCGAGTGAGTTTATCGACTCGCGTCCCGTACCTTGACCCAGAACCATTCGGCCACAACTTGCACCCCCCAGTGTGGATACAGCTCCTCGCGGACGAAGCGCCGGTGGCTGGGGCGGTTCGTTACCCAGGTAACCACCAAACAGCCCGGAGAGGCCAACAGGGGGATGGGGAGCCGTTTCAGCTGAGACGAAGGCAGAGAACTGTACCTTGATTAAGAAAGTGGAAACAATCTGTGTTAATGCGATCACCTTTTACAATTCAAACTCCAAGCTGGGACGCTGTAACACACACTCACGCACACACACACACACATACACGCACGCACTTACACATACACACACACATATATATATATATATATATATATACACTGTATATGTGTGTGTTGTTAATAACATATTGATTCATAAATGATTCATAAGTGTTTCTAATCCATCAACTGTGACAGTACTTTATCAAGTTGAGAGTGAGTTACCTTGACAACTACCAGACGGGTCTGATAAGAAAGTTGTTTACCTGCGACTCCTTTTCACTGATTTGTTTTCCCAGGGTGGATCCATTACAATGAGGTCATATCTGCGTCCATCTGGGTGAGAAACAGGAAACCTGTTCAGCACATTAGAAATGTGACCTTAAAAATTCAGCAGAAATGCTCATTCACCCCACTGGTTGACTTAAGGTGGAATGGTTAGACGCACGCCACACCGGTTTGGGAACCAGAACAATGACACCTTTTGTCTGACATCCATCCCAGATGACTTGAAAACCATCACATGTATTTTTTCTATCACATTTTTTGGGTCAGATGTACTTTTCTGAGCTTTTTTTCTTCTCACATTGGACAAGTGGTTGCGTTCTCGTGAAGTCGGAGAGCAGGAAAGCCGAGCGAGGGGGGATGACGTACTCCTCTCCCATCAGAGAAACCACGGCGCCCCGGTCCTCCTTGTTCTCCGTCACGCGAGAGAACAGGTCCACGTGTGAAGTAGAGCCCCCTTCTGTTGCAAGCGCCTGGGAGCACTCCTGCTGCTCCTCATCCTCCGCTAGAGGAAGCTCTTTAGCCATCTCACAGAGAGCCGCAAGGCTGCATTCATGGCAAGGGACAGGCTCTTTCACAGTTTCCGCGTGTCCGTTCAGGTATCCTAGTGATCGGGCGGACTCCAGCAGAGACTTGGTTCCCTCCAGGACGACAGATCTGATCTACGTCGTACACATATAAATGCAAAGATTATTATTACAGCTGGATAATGCACTTAAATAGAAGTATGGAAAGGTGTGACACGGCAAGACTGTACATGCAACCCATTATACTTTCCAATTGCAGTTTGGGGACATGATGAACTTAAATGTCCCCTCTATTTTTCACATATTTTCAGTTTCTTCCCTCAGGCATTTCTCGTGCTCCGTTTTGATGTGGCTGTAACATGGCATTCCTCCACCGTTCACCTCTACCTCCACTCGGCTTAAAGCCTAAATATTTATTAAAGACTTACATTCCACTTACCTTCTCATGGAAGGCTTGTGAATCAATTTCCCCCTGATTGAGTGCGCCTTGTTTTCGTTTTCTTTTCTGAAAGTCAGATAGATAGATAGATAGATAGATAGATAGATAGATAGATAGATAGATAGATAGATAGATAGATAGATAGAGAGATAAGGGTTAAATGAACCAACACATGTTGGAAAAAAACTCTTCTGAGGTCAGAGAGGTCAACATTTAAAAGACATCCTCCATAGTAAAAAGAAGGATCATAAGTCTTTCATAAGCACCAAGTTTGAAAGTTAGCTTCTCTGGTGATATGGGAGTGCACTAGTGCACAAAACTGTACTTTTTTGACAAAAAAAAAGGTTTAAATAAGGTTACTTTCAATAAGGGGGGATAAATGTGTTTATTTTACTGCAGCAACAGATTATCTGACGTTCCTTTTTCAATTTATTTATCATCTATGTGGTGATATCAGGCAGTTACATCACTTGTCGGGTATCAAATGAATCTGCTTTTTATAAAAAAAGGGAAAATATCACCCTACTGATGCATTTAAAGGCTGGCGGGAAGTGTCCGGGCACGTCTGTGGAGTTTTACCTTCGGCTGTTTGTCTGTTCGCTCCACCGTTTCCGTGTTATTCGCCTCCAAAGCGGCGCTGTTGCCATGGCAGCCGTGGCTTGTTAAGACCTGAAAACACTGCTCTTTAAAGCTACACTTCACGTGCGACTTTCGCCCACCGGTCCACCGGACGCAGGTCGCGTGGCCCCGGTCGATGAGCGCGCGCGCGTCCAGCAGCCAGCCCGAGCTGCTCGCGCACAACACGGACATCGCGCGACAGCTCGTTTCCACGCATTTGAGAGCAACCTATAACGGTTTGGCCATGACCGGGCGACCGGCTTCCGCTCGAGACGCCACCGAAAACAAACCGTCACCTCAAGCTAGTTTCCGGAAGTGGAATGCGCGAGAGGCTTTGTGCCCCTCACCCCGCTCCGTACACGAGCTCCCGCTAGCTAGACCCCGTTGTTCTGTCGGTTCGGCATAGGCATGGTCAATACGCATGCGCAAGACGTCAGTTTCGCCTAAGCGTATGATTGATATGCTAGCCTGACACTATCACTGTCGGTTCATCATACTCCGTCAGACCGGCATACGCATTTTTTCTTTTCCTGTATGTTATTCTCTTAGATTTTAGCTTAAGCGTATGCTAACTCGACAGTTATAGTGTCAGGCTAGCATACGCTTAGGCAAAGCTGACGGCTTGCGCATGCGTATTGACCATGCTTATGCCGGTCCGACGGAACACCGGCACCGCTGTACAGATGTTGGGAAAGGATGGGTGGAGTTTAAGCAGGAGACAGAGAAACGAAACTCAAGTGACAACTTAAGTTGAAAGCCAACACAGGGCGACCTGCGCAGTCCGCGGAGCGATTTGTCTCGAGTGGTTTGTGTTTTTTTACGTCAGACCTCAAAAGTTTTATCTAATCTCCAAGAGCTCTTTCATTGGGAGGATGCACCATTCCTTTGCAGCCAAAATCCAGGAGAGGGAAATCCGTGTCTGGGACTGGCGATCTGATGACGGATCCCCCCCTAAAAAGCTGAAAATTAGCGGATTGGACTTCTTTGGCTTTCTGAGAGGCCTCCGCAAGGTAAAGTTTTAACATCTGATCCATAAATCCGACACTATTGGGCATGTGCACGTGTTTTTTTATTATGTCTTCTGATATTTATTGTGACAGGTTTCATTTTTTTATTTAATTTTTTTTATTTTCTTTATTGAGCAGCAGCAATACAAATACTCAAAGAGGATGGGGTGGAGCCCAAACACAAAAATGTTCACTTTTTAAAACAATTTTCAGAAAGAACACCCACCCACACGCCCCACCCACCCCCCCACATCCCCACAACCCCAAGTTTAGGCACAGAGGTAAATTAAAGTAAATTAAAGTTACAGACTAAGGGACAGGAAGAGAAAGAAAAGGAGGAAAAGGGAACAGAAAAGAAAGAACAAAATACTAATAACCTAAAGAAACAATAACAGGGGAAAAAAAGAGAGACAGGTTTCTTTATTTAAAAAAAAGTTACAATTGTCATCAAGACATTTTAGATTTGTTGACTAACTATAGCGACATCAACATAAATTAAATCCCTGAAACATTTGACCTTAAGGATTGTAGTCATAGCTGGACTTTCACATAGTTTACTTAAAATGTTTAACGTGTTTTAATGTTTTTAGATGCACACCTTTCCTTTAAAGAATTAAGTTATCATCTGTAAAGCTTTCAAAATAACTAACAAATATTAAACATATATCTAAAGCCTTTTCATGCCCCTAAAACAAAATGACTACGAATGGTAAAGTCTAATAAAAAATGTAAAAAAGAAATACTTTGATTTGAATATTTGCCTGCCAAGAAATCCTGCTTTGGTTGCTGAGGCTTATTTATATACATCTCTCTTTATAATTTATGCCACTAACATTTATTATCACAAGTTGCAGTCAAACTGAGACAGTTTTACTTTTAGGCAGTCCCTAAAACAGAGTGTTCAGATGCAGCTCTGCAAACCTAAATTCTTCTGTCATGTTTTTCCAAGGGGAATTCTCATCGTGTTCATATATTGTTATGCTTCTTACTCTTTTATAGAGTAGCTCAGTCTTAATAAAGTGCATTTAAAAAGCAGCAACTCACTGCTAGTTCACATTCATCTCAAAGAAGCAGCATGAAAGGGTTTTTTTTTTACCATCGGCTACTGCGTTTTGCATTTCCTGGTACAAAGTGATCCCTTTTTTCTTTTATTAGTTTCTCATGAAACCATTTGCGTAATGACGTTTAACATATAATACTCGAAAGCCCATGTCGTGTCAACAATCTCCTGTGGTTTTCCAGACTAACCTCTAGCTGAGAAATCACAGGAAATGCTGATTTGAAATATTACAGCATGTTGTTTTTTTTATCTAGGTTTTCTCAATCAGTCCAGATGAGCACTTTGTCCTGGTGACCATGGATCCCAGAACAGTGATTGATCGTGATCAGTTTGGTAAGTGAACATCTCAATGAGAAAAAGAAAGGATTGTCTTCGTCTGTTTAGCTGCATGTGCGTTCATGTCCACGTAGAGAGGCTTCCCAGCGGCACCACCCTGTACTTGTTGCTGAGTGAGGATCAAAGTCTGCCGGCCGTAACTAAGGAGGATATCTCGTTTGTGCCCCATTATGACACGCTGCTCCAGAGTGGGACGTTTGAGTACTACGCCAATAGCAAGGAGTCATTACGTGAGTGTTAACGTTATCAAAACGACAGCCCTTTTAAAATGGAGAAATGCAGATATGAATCTGCAGGACTGTTTTGAACGTTCTGCTCCATTTATTTTTTGCAGCTTATGCCTTCGCCGAGCTGGTGGACAACTCTCTGTCAGCCACAGCCACAAACAAAGGAGTGAGGAGAGTAGAGATACGAACGGTCGGTGACTTATTCATTACACCTAGCGAACGTTTTGTCATGTCAGTGTTTTATTTTATTTGACTTTTTAGTGATTTCTGCTTCTGTTTACCAGATACTTGGCAAAACGCCCGCGGTCATCATTCTGGACAATGGCCGGGGGATGACGTCCAAGCAGCTGAACGACTGGGCGGTTTACAGGCTCTCTAAGTTCAAAAGGGAGACTGACACTTTTGAAAGGTTGGCACTTTTTACTTGTCAAGATGTATTTCACTTGGATCATCCTCAATCGAGGTTGTACATTGCTCGTTTTTTCACTTTAGTCAAAACGAGGGATACGTTCGTCCTGATCATGTTCCTCGCAGCCTCAACAGTGACATATCCTACTTTGGAGTTGGAGGAAAAAATGCTTGTTTCTTCATTGGGGACTCTGTCAAGGTAAGTCCCTGCAGGAGACTTTGTTTTTCTATCTATCTATCTATCTATCTATCTATCTATCTATCTATCTATCTATCTATCTATCTATCTATCTATCTATCTATCTAT